ATTTTATCCATTCATATGCTTTATAGCATCTAAAATGAACTTGAAAAAAAAAAGGAAGAAGAAGCCAAATATGATGGTAATCTAAGCCCACGATCACCCAGCACTGAAGGAGGCCATAAGGTCATGGTCAGCATAGGCTGCGTAGTGTGATTCTGGCTCAAAAAAGAAAAAACTCATGAAGAAAAGAAAGGCATTGTTGAAAGAGAAGGCATTCCTAAAAACACCCATTAATATTCCCAACTCAATATAAAGAAAAGTAAGAGCTTTTACAAAAGCACAATTTAGAAAATGAAAATTTGCATAAGTATAAATGCCAATTTCACATACATATTACTATAGTAAACATTACCCCTAAATTCATGTTAATTAATTTGTGGCATAGACAACTCCTTTTTAAGGTAGTTTTCCAGATGTTCACACAAAACACAATCTGGCCTATGATGGATTCTCAAACTAGCTGAGTGAGTGAGCTAATAAAATATTTAGAATAATTACCTTCAGAATTGGGGCTGCAGAGATGGCTCAGGAGTTAAGAGTGCTTACTGCTCTTGCAGAGGACCTGGGTTCAGTTCTCAGTGTGGTGTCAGTGGGCGGCCTACAACCACTTGAAACTCCACAGCAGGGGATCTAATGCCCTCTTCTGGAACCCTCTGGCATCTGCACTCACACATGTGCGAGCAGACATATGCATGCCTATACATACACACACACACACACACACACACACACACACACACACACACACACACAATTAAAAATAAAATAAATCTAAAAAGAAGAATTGTCTTCAGAGAACATTGGTAACGGGGTTGGAGAGATGGCTCTCTGATGGGAGCACTTGCCGCTAAGCTGATGGCCTGAATTCATTTCCCAAGACCCACAACATGGAAGGAGAGAACCAATGCCTGAAGGTTCTTCTCTCACTTTCATCCACATGGCAGGACATGCCATTCTACATTAATATGATAAATTAAAAAAACATAATAAAAATGAAAATTTTTAGGAAAAACATGGTGATATACCCATAAGCTATTATAAGTTATTACCCACAAGTGCTCTGGCTTCACTTCCCAGAGATCTTCAGCTTGAGTCAGACTTGGTTTGAAGGGGAGCTGTCTGCTAGGTCAAGACCATTATATATGGCTGACATGACAGACACACCCAGGAGTATGATTTCAGGTTCGTGAGCTGAGTGAGGCCTTTTGTACGGTCTTGGAGCATTTTCGGAGGGTAGCTGGATTTGTCCCTGTGCGTTCACATGCACATGCCTTTGTTTCTCTGTCTCCTCCCATCCTGACTTCGCTGTCTCTGTGTTTGGACCACATGACTATACAGCTGGAAAGAGGGATGATAGGCAGACTGCCAGGCAGCTGAAAGATGAGTAAACACACCCTCCCAGAATGAAGCAAAGCTCACAACCAAAGAGTCGCTTAGTCATAGGATTTTAACTAAACAGTAAAATAACTGGGCATGGTGGCGGACACCTGTAACCATCCTAGCACTGGAGAGACAGAGGTAGAAGGATCACTACTGGCTTGAGGACAGCCTGGACTATGTGACAAGTCCCAAGAAAGCCATGGCTATACAGTGCAACCCTGTCTATAAATAAATAAAAAAATAAGAAAGTTTTTAAGATTAAAAATGGTTAAAAAACATTTTGTTCCATTTGTTACACATTTTCTTTTTGTTATTTATTATTTCCTTCAGAGTATAGGGAGCTAAATACCATAAGTTCTTGGATTTTTTTAAAACCAATTCAACATACTTTAATGTTTATTAGGAAGAAAAGGCTGTTGGGGCATTCACTAACAAGTTTTGCTCCACATAGCCCGTATTCTGCGCACAGTCCATGTCCTGCACACAACCTGTGTCCTGCACACAGCAAGTGTCTCCACACAGCCCGTGTCCTGCACACAGTCCATGTCTTGCACACAGCCCGTGTCCTGCACACAGTCCATGTCCTGCACATAGCTCGTGTCCTGCACACAGCAAGTGTCTCCACACAGCCGGTGTCTTGCACACAGCCGGTGTCCTGCTCACAACCCATGTCCTGCACACAGCAAGTGTCCTGCACACAACCCGTGTCCTGCACACAGTCCATGTCCTGCACAAAGCCAGTGTCCTGCTCACAGCAAGTGTCCTGCACACAGCAAGTGTCTCCACACAGCCCGTGTTCTGCACACGCAAGCTTCTTCCTTCCTCTTTAGGTACTTGTGCCTTAGGGGAGCAGCCGCACAGTGAAGTGGCGCGCTCACTGAACAACTCAGGCTATAACATCGGCACGTGTAAATGCAAACGTCAACTTGCAGAAAGAAAGGGCACCAGAAACATTAAATTTTTATAAAAATAGATTGTATTAGTTCCCTCATAGATGCATTTTTATGTGTATCAGCAATTAATCTTATATGAAGTTGACATTTAATAAAGACATAATTACCATGAAGCTCCAGATTTTATTTGGAGTTAAATACTATACAGTCTAATACAGATCTGGCATTCACACTTTACAGCAGAAATTAAGCTTTTTATTAGGACATAAAACCTTAATACCAACAACTATAAAAAGCTATGAGAATTACAGTATAATTTAGTAATATAAGTTTTAATCACATAGTATAGAACTATCAATACCACATTAGCACAATTTCTTATCTCTTAAATACCATGGGCTTGAATTTTATAAACATCTATACACTCAGGTCACAGGATCAAGGTTTTTCTTGCCTTACATGATCTGTTATACATGCCTTCATTATCTGTGTAATGTATTGCCAACATCCCCAAATATCAGGCCATATTCATGTTCAACTGTCAGATACAAAATGCAGGCTAAGCCAAGGTAGTACTTCAGAGTTCACTGAGTGCCACTCACTCTAACTTGCAAGATAAAGATATATACATTTATGTAAATGAGTTTCACATTTATGGATATTATAATTTAGTCACTTGGTTATAGGCATTTCTTAACATTAAAAGATACATAATACGTATGTATGTTAGAAATATTGGTGGAGATAGGGGTGTGGCTAAATGTGTCACTCTTAGGCCTTCTTTTACAGGATTGACAAGTTAACAAGGAACCAAGAAAAGTGAATATATGACAAAGGCTTTCAAAAACAAAAGTGCAGTCTGGGGGTGTGGCTTAGGGACAGATTGCTTATGTGGCACTGGTGAGGCTGTGTTTAATCCTCAGCAATTCGAAAAGACCCTGTGTTGGGTGGGTGGTACATACCTGTAATCCTAGCACTGGGGAGGTGGAGACAGGAGTGTGCTGAGTTCAAGATAAGCTTGAGCTACATAGTGAGTTCAGACCAGCCTGGGCTACATGGTGAGACCCTGCCTCCAAAATAAAAATGGAAATAAAAGAAAGAAACAAAGTGCTATAGTCTGAGTTGTTTGAAAACTCATAGACATTCTGTTCAAATGGAAGAATGAATTCTCACATTCACTTTCATCTAAATATTGGGGTAACCTTAAGATCTTACATGTTATGTCCCACAAATGCCAGGTATTAACTATTATTCCCAGAGGGTGGGCAGGATGTGGGATGGTACCATTAAATGCTTAGCATTTGTTAAGGTGTTATTACTTATCAGATACCATACTGAGAGTGCTCCAAATCCTACATTCACCCAACACTACTAAAGGAATATTTATATTGTGTTCATCTATTACACAGAGCAGCAGGGGCCAAAGCATTCAAGGAAACAACCCCAATCACAAAGCTGGCAAGCAAGGCTTAATAATTATGTGTAGACTTTCTCTACGGTGTGGGAGCCGTAAGACACAATGGGAAAGGAACCTGTGGGCCTCAGTACAGAGGCCAGAAACACTCAGAATTATCCATCTATTCATAAGCTATTTGTTTCCATGGATCAGGGAGGAGATGGTAATGTGAATCATTGCTCTGCACTCAAAAACCTCTTACAAGCCACTCTTAACTGAGACCCTCTGCTGTGGATATGAGATCTGTGCCAGCAGAGCACCTGCAGAGTTCGTGACTGTGTGTATGACTATCAAAGCACCAAGACATTCATGACCTAATGCAAGATAAGCCACCTTTACTATCATGCTACCTTCAAGTTCTCATTTTAAATATGGCTTGTCCTTGATTTTTATGATGGTATCAAATTCCATCCACGTTACATTCTTGTACTTTGTCTACAGCTTATGGTTTCCATTATAAAACTTTATCTAGGAATCACAGTGTACCTTGTCTCCATTACACCCAACACTTAAGCACTGTCCTGCCATACCAGACCAAGTGGCTTTAATGAAGCTTTGTTGAGTTGGTGTTAGCTGAAGTCTCTCTCTCTCTCTCTCTCTCTCTCTCTTCTCTCTCTCTCTCTCTCTCTCTCTCTCTCTGTTGCAAACACACAGCAGTGAGGATTGAACCAGAGCGCTGGCCACATTCTCCTAGTGCTCTACCAATGAGCTGCACCTTTAGTCTTAGAAATACACTTTTATTTGGCCCTGCTACAGTGACCGCTATTCAATTCACTGACTGGAGAATGTGGCCAGCGCTCTGGTTCAATCCTCACTGCTGTGTGTTTGCAACAGAGAGAGAGAGAGAGAGAGAGAGAGAGAGAGAGAGAGAGAGAGAGAGAGAATGAAATTTTATGAAGGAGACCCAAAAGCTACAGTTTTCAGATTTCCAAGCAAACTCTAAAATAAATTCAGTATCTTTGGGTTATTTTCTAAAACTAATTTCAGTTAATTAAGCCGTAAAATATTCTTCAATGTACATGTGATGAAATCTCATTCTTGAGCTAGCTCATGGTTCCCAGCAGTTTAAAAGGCTTTATTGAGGAGTGATTTTTAGCAAAAAAAAAAAAAAAAAAAAAAAGATGGGATTCGCATGGCTAAAATCAACAACTAAGGTTTTCAGAAGCCAGGAAGAAGCAATTTGGAAGAATATAACTTTGCTCAAAGGTAGCACCATTTATATATGTTTTTTTAAAAAAAAGCTATGCTACAGTTTGGAAGTGGTTAATTCTATATAGTGCAAAAGCTTCTGCTTAGAAACACTATACAAATGTGTTTATATGCATCATCAGGAGGACTTACTTTCTTAACATTTGCTGCTTAAAATGGAGAGGTTTCAAAGGCAGAGAAAGGCCTGAGCTTGGTGACATAATTGAAGTAAACATAGGAGACAGTCACTAGGACATTTTTACAAAGGCCCAGTACTGGTGTGATAGTCCCCAGGGCAATGATTAAACTGAATCTAAGAAAAACAAAGGGTAAATCCTGCAGCAGGACCCCCATGGAATTGAGAAGAGGGTTCTTAGGCGTGAAGACCATTCGCAGGAGAGATATGTAACTGAATATGTAGACCGGGTACAGCCAACCCGACTTGTACACGGAGTGGTGCCCAGCCACACGCAACATTTCTATAGTGTCTGACCACGTGAGGAAGCTTCGCAGGAACAGCTCGGCTCGGACATCTCTGTGAGACATTGTCCTCAGGATTCCAGAGTGAAATGAGGGCTCCAGTGGCCCCACCAGCACTGTCACGTGGTGGTGGGGCTGGGACATCACAGTGGGCTTGGCTGCCTGGGCAGGTGCAGGATTTTCATCACCATGGACCACCTGTTCTGTCACAGTTTTTATCTGTTGCAAAGAGGTTATATGGATGTCATTGTCTTCATGACCTGAAAAACATCGATTAATTTACATTTTAAGCATTTCTTTAATCTAAAAATGTTTACTTTACTTGTTACTAAACTGAGTTTGATGGCGATCCTAATATCCCAGTATGGAAGGAGGACATGGAGGCCGAAGGATGGCAAAATGTAGGCTAATCTAGGGTGCATAAAAAGACCCTGTCTCAAGACCAGACAATGTAGCAGATAGATAGATGATAGATGACAGATAGATGGATGATAGATAGATATTTAGATAGATAGATAAGTAGGTAGGTAGGTAGATAGATAGATAGATAGATAGATGGATGATAGATGGATTGATGATAGATAGATAATAGATATTTAGGTAGTTAGATAGATAGACAGACAGACAGACAGACAGACAGACAGACAGACAGATAGCTAGATAGATAGATAGATAGATAGATAGATAGATAGATAGATAGATAGAGGTAAGATTGATCAGTTGGTAAAAACTCTTGTTAGGCAAGACTGATGACAGGAGTTCAATCCCCCAGAAGTTCTCTGACCTCCAAATGCCCATCTTGGCAACATGCAGGACAGTACAGCAGTGATGATTCATACTGTTCTGCCAGAATGGTCCAGATACCTGAGTTTAGCTCCCAGCACCTTGTCAGGTGGTTCACCATATCAGCAACTCCAGCTCAAGGGAAACTCGGTCCTCTGTGCTCAGTGTTCACCTGCACTCACATATGCACATACCTCTCCAGAGACACAGACCCAGAACGCAACAAAGCTTTCAAAACTGTAATTCTTAAAATAAAAGTCTAAATTTTTGACATGTGGAAAACAATGACTGAGTGACAGACTAAAAAAATTCAGGAGATTCTTGGCACCTTGGTATTTTTCCTGGATATGAAACCTAAGTTACTTTCACAATTTGACAGAAAAGGGCATTATTGATTACTTATTGGATCCTTGGAGCAAATGAAGAAATGTTTACCAGTGCATTTTACAGTTTTAGAAACTGAAGCCCATGAAGTTAAATGATGCTCAAATTCAGACTCAGTGGCAGAGCTGTAGCCCTCTGCCTGGCTTGCTCAACTCCAAGTGACAAACTTTTAATGTCATAGCTGCTATTGTCTGCGTAGAAGCAAGACAGTGTGTGCTAATTATAAAAGACATGCGTATCAAAACCAAGTGAATTGACAAGCTTACCAGTCCAGGATTGTCCCCCTGTAAGATGAAATGGGCTCTCAGGACTGATTCTACCTAAGTTCCCTAGCAGGGGAGTTCAGTGCTCAGAGAGAAACGGTTTGACCCACAGAGAATCATGAAAATAGTTCAGCTGTTCTTCCCCAGGGGCTTTAGAAGCAGTCAACAGGACTGGTCAGCTGAACTATCATCTCTGGGTCATGGGTCATGGGTCATGAGGCTGTATGTTAATCAATATACCTGTCAGATGAATGGGAAGATATCTGATCCTTGTCACAGTGTGTGTGTGTGTGTATGTGTAGATGAGTGTGTGTGTACAAGGATGCCTGCATGTGGATGATAGCTGCTATCTTTGGATGCTGTTCCTCCAGTGATGTCCACCTTGTTTTTTGATACTGGATCTCTCACTGAGAACAGGGTTGGACTGGCTAGGCAGAAATAGCCAGAAAATCTGTCTCCACCTCCCCAGTGTTAGGCTTCCAAGTACCTGCCACAATATCCAATATTTTTACACTTCTCTGAGATTTATTTTATTTTATTTTATTTTATTTGTATGGGTATTTTGCCTACATGTGTGTCTCTACACATGTGTATCTGGTGCCTACAGAGGCCAGAAGAGGGCACTGGGTCCCTTGGAACTGGAGTTACATGTGGCTGTTAGCTGCCGCGTAGGTGCTAAAATCAAACCCCTGTCCTCTGGAAGAGCCGCTAGTGCTCTTACCTGCTGAGCCATCTCTCTAGCCCCGTGTCCAGACTGTATGTGGGTTCTGGGGATTGACCTCGGGTACTCATGCATGTTTGCAAGCCCTTTACTGATGGAGCTATCTCCTGGGCCCTATAGTGCATCATTTGTCCCACACCTATCCACTGAAACACCTTTTTTGTGTTGCTAAGATTTTATCAGCCTGGCAAAGTTTACTGAGAAAACGTTCTGAGAGGTCCTGTTACCTGAGAAGACAGAAGGTAAAGGAGTGTTAGGTGGGAAGGTCTGAAAGGCAACAATGTCTGTAGCTGGAGTTTTCCTGCCTGGCCCACAGTCAGGACAAATCTTTGTCACCTGCCAGTCCCACAGCTGCTCAGACCTGACCAAGTAAACACAGAGACTTACATTGCTTATGAACTGTATGGCTGTGGCAGGCCTCTTGCTAACTGTTCTTATAGCTTAAATTAATCCATTTCCACAAATCTATACCCTGCCACACAGCTCGTGGCTTACTGGCATCTTCACATGCTGGCTTGTCCTGGCGGCGGCTGGCAGTGACTCCTTCTGCCTTCCTGTTCTTTCTTTTCTCTTCTCTGTTAGTCCCGCCTATACTTCCTGCCTAGCCACTGGCCAATCAGTGTTTTATTTATTGACCAATCAGAGCAACACATTTGCCATACAGAACATCCCACAGCAAATGTCAGTAAAAACTTGTTGAACTAAAAGTGAAAACACTGGGAGAGGAGTGAATTTTGATTCATGACTAAGCTACTTAGTGACTAAGTTAAGAGTATTTATTAAGTATTCAACAAACCTCAGTGATTTTTCATATAGTTAATTATTTAAAACTTTAAAGGTTGAACTGAATATTTTTTTAAATACAAAGATTAAGTGTTTTTTCTCTTTTGTTTATATGTGTATATGCATATATGCACTGGGTGTGTTACAGGCGTGCGTGTGTGTGTGTGTGTGTGTGTGTGTGTGTGCACATGTAGAAGCCAGAGGTCAACTTTAGGGGCCTTCCTCAATTGTTGTTCATTTTCTTCCTTTTTTAAAAATAAAATGTGATTATTCTTTTTTTTTCTTTTATTGAAAATAGATTTTTTTTACATAATATATCCTTATTACAATTTCTTCTCCTTCTATTCTTCCCAGTTCCTCTCCATTTCTCCTCCCATTCAGATCTATTCCCTTTCTGTGTTTCATTAGAAAAACAAACAGGATTTTTAGGGATAATAATAAAATAGAAGATAAAACAAAGACTAATGCATTGGAGTTGGACAAGACAAATAAAAAGAATGCAAAGAGCCCAAGAGAAGGCAAAAGAATCAGAAACCCACTCATTCACACACTCAGGAATCCCATAAAAACACCAAACTGGGAGCCGTAACGTATACACAGAGGACCTGGTGCAGACCTGTGCAGGCCCTGTGCTTGCTGTTTCAGCCTCTGTGAGTTCACATGAGCTCTGCTCAGTTGATTTAGAGGGCCTTCATCTCCTGGAGTCCTCTATCCTCTCTGATTCTTATACTTTTTCAGCCTTGTCTTCTGTGGGGCTCCCCAATCCCTGAGGGGAGGGGTTTAATGGAGACTTCCCATTTAGGGCTGAGTGTTCCAAGGTCTCTCACTCTCTGAATAATATCTGGATGTGGGTCTTTGTATTTGTTCTCGTCTGCTGCAGGAAGGAACTTCTCTGATTGTTGCTGAGCAACTATTTTAGTGACCAAGACAGATACTAGATAGTCCAGTAACTTAGGGTAAAACCAAATACTACTGTTTGGGGGTGGGGGAAGTAGTAATAAAATGACTCCTAAAGACATTCTGCTATGCTGTGGGATGTCGTTCTGTATGCTGTGAATATGTGCTGCTCTGATTGGCTGATAAATAAAAATGCTGATTGGCTAGTAACTAGGCAGGAAGTATAGGTGGGCAAACAGATGAGGAGAATTCTGGGAAGAGGAAAGAAGGAGTGGGGTGTCACCAGCCAGACACAGAGGAAGCAAGATAACAAGGCAGAATTAAGAAAAGGTGCCAAGCCACATGGCTAAACATAAATAAGAATTATGGGTTAATTTAAGTGTAAGAGCTAGTCAGTAATAAGCCTGAGCTAATGGCCAAGCAGTTATAATTAATATAAGCTTCTGAGTGATTATTTTATAAGCAGCTGTGGGACCTCAGTTCTGAGTAGACTGGAGAAACTTTCAGCTACACTGCTACACTCACAGATCAGTGCCTCCCACATTCTTTTTTTTAAAGGAAAAATCTCTTACTGAATCTGGAACTCACTGGTTTGCTGAGGCTGGCTGATTATGAGCTTCAGATCTGTCCTTCTCCATAACCCTCCCAGCACCTACCTCAGCACCTCAGTTCCTGGCTTTCTGCTTGGGTATTAAGGATCCATAAGAAATATTCTACCACTTGTAACCCCTAGGTACCTCTTAACCTATGTTAGAAGCCACAATGGCCTAAATGGGTATCATTTCACAAACAATACTAAGAGATAGGTATATTATATAATGTATTATTTCTGTAAAATCCTCTCTTTAAACTCAGATGCTCACTTCTACATTTCACTTAACTTTAAAGAATTCAGTAGAGTGCTGGAGAGATATCTCAGTTGGTAAAGTACTTGCTGTGAAAGCATGCTAACCTGGGTTGATCCCAGAACTCATATTTTTAAAAAATTCTGGATGTAAAGAGGTGGAGACAGGCAGCAAGGATTCACTGGCTATCCAGCCTAGCATAGTTATCAAGTTCGAAACCAGTGGGGAATCTTGTTTCAAAAACAGACTGATGGTTTCTGAAAAATGACATGCAAGGTTGACCTCTGGGCTCCATATGTACAATGCTGTTGTGTAACAGTTTCCTCCAACACTGAAACAGTCCATCCTGTAGGGAAGCTTTTAAGCTGGAAGGTAAAGAAAATAGCTTCAGGAAGTCCCTGAAGCTGACCAGATTCACTAGGCTCCTCCCTGCCAGAGTAAACAATGAAAGCTGAGAGTCCCACTCAGATTAAGTAAGCTGAGCCACAAAGAAGACCCAGACAAGCTGAGCTACAATAAAGACTCTGTAGCCAGACCAGCTACCTGGAAGAGGTTTAGATCAACAGAGGCACCCAGAAAAGACC